GGGGGGGCGACCCTCGCGTCCCCCCGCTCGGGCCCCAGGCCCGCAGGGTGCGGGCGCCGCCACTGCGCCCCACCAGCCGGCCTGGGGTGCCAGGTTGCTTAGGGCCACGTGTACTTTCCCTACGCCCCCGCCGGACGCGAGGGAGGGATTTAAAGAGACCGCAGCTCTCAGCCTCTTCCCGACTGTTTCATTTGACGCCTCTACTGCGTTGTGTAGCAGATGTGCCAGATTGCTGTTGTCCGTCTTTGTCCTAGCGACTGTGACAATACCGCTGAGGGAGCGAGTTCTGTCGGGTCGGAGCCGGGGCCGGGGCCGGGGCCGGGGCCGGGGCCGGTGCTGAGTCGGGCCAAGCCGAAGGAACCTTCCTCGGGCACGTAACTCGAGCTGGTGTGACTAGGTGGAAGGTGTGCAGATTGCAAGGGGGGAAGGGCCCGTCCCTTCGTCACGCCATGTCCCCGCCACATGATATCTCCCGGGGTCTTTTAACCAGAACATGTATGAGTGAAAACCCTGGTCTTTGGGAATAATGTCGAAGAAAAATTGAGGCTTTGTCGTTGCCCCTACAACTAATAATCTCAAGTTTTAACTGCCTTCAGTGTGGGGTTCTTTCCATATGTAACTGTAGTGTAGCTATGTATTTTAATGCTGTACTTCTTCACTACAGAAGATGCAACCTGTATGTGTTATATTTGGACTATAATTACCAAAACAGCTTAGCTGTGCGAAAAAGTAATAGCATAAAAGGAATAACAATAGCAAGTCTGTCTAACTTTGAACAACCTATTGCTTAATGTAAAAAGGAGTAATAGTGCCTACTGTATGCTTTGGTCATTTCAGACATTGAGAAAAATACTACTTATGATTGCTTGATTCTTAAATTTATTTGCCTTAACTTTAAACTTTGGTAGGCCTCCAACCAGTATTACATACTTAGTAACAGTGTAGTGTTTTGCAGGTCTTTAATCAGCAGAGAGGGCCGGGGAGATGGCTCACAGGAATAAGCGCTTCCCTGGCAAGTGCAAGGGCCTCAGTTCAATCCCTAATTCCGCCCAAAAAAAAAAAAAAAAAAGGAGATTAATCAGCAAAGGTCAGTTTGTTCAGTAGTACATATTAATTGATAGAAATTCCTTTGATTTGCAGGCTGTAAATTGGATTCAGGGTTCCCCACAAATGAGGGCAACAATGATACCAGTCGTTCTGACATTGAACTGTGCTGTTAGCACTGAAATTTTATCACTTGAGTCCTTCCCTTCCTTGTGCTTTCCTTTGGTCACCTTAGGTGAAAGGGGGATTGTGAATGATTTTTGGAAACTTTAGCAGCAAGATAAATTGTGTCTGTTGTACTTTATAGTAAGTGTTTTTTTCAGAATATTTTCGTTTAATGTTCTTGATAAACTCTTTTAAAAATCTGTTTTAATACTTACAGAGATTAGAAAACTGAGATTTGGCCATTCATGCAAAACTTGAATATTCCTAAGTCATTTGGATCCTTTTTGTGTGTGTGTGTGTGTGTGTGTGTGTGTGTGTAACCAGGGGTTGAACTCAGGCCCTTGTGCTTGCTAGGCAAGTGCTTATTCTACTGAGCCATCTCCCTGGCCCTGGATCCAAATTTTACATGAACTTTTTCATTTCCTGTGAAGTAATGAAAATTTCAGACATACTATGTTTCCTAAGGTAAAAAAGCTGGAGAAATAGCTTTTTTCTCGTTTTATTTCACTGTAAATTTTTGGTACCTACAGACTTGGTTTTTTTTTTTTTGTTTTGTTTTGTTTTGTTGTTTTGTTTTGTTTTGTTTTGGTTTTGGTGGTACCTGGGATCAAACTCAGGACCCTGCACTTTCCAGGCAAGCACTTATTCCACTGAGTTATCTCCCTGGCCCACCTACAGTCTTAGAATCTGATCCTCACTGAAAATCAATCTATAACTCCTTATTTTCCTTTAAGTTAAAATGAAGTGGGGGAATAAAAGAAGATGCTTGGGGAGTTTTTTGTTTTTTTTACTACTATAATCATTTCTAATGCATAAAATTAGAAATGAAGCTTACTCAGGTGGGGGATGAGAAAATTTCCTGATTTTCTTAAAATCCTTCTCCAGTACTACAGATCAACAAGGATGATGTGACTGCCCTGCACTGTAAAGTGGTCTGCCTTATTCAGAATGGAAGTTTCAAGGAAGCCTTAAATGTCATCAATACTCATACCAAAGTTTTAGCCAAGTAAGTGATTCAGTAGGAGCAAATTTATTAGAACTGTAGCCTCTTTGCAGGTTTGTTGTGGTGGTGGTGGTTGTTGGTGGTGGTGGTAGTGTGTGTGTGTATTTGTGACAGGCTTCCACTACAAAGCCCCAGCTGTCCTTGAACTCAGGATGCTCTTCCTTGGTCTCCCAGGTGCTGGGGTTGTGCGTGCACACACACACACACATGTGCACACACACACATACACACACACACATGTGCACACACACACATACACACACACACACACACACAGGCACTGTTCAGATTTTTGGCCTACTTTTCTTTTGTTTGACAGTAGCATTTCTGAAACTGGAAGGAGCAGTAGTAACTTCTGTCTTTTTTTCCTTGGGGACACTCCCCTCACATACCCCATCCTCCCTTAGAAACGTGAATTGTAGAGGGATGTGGGACCTAAATGTAATAAGATTCCATGGAAGATAAGGGGAGAACAACTCAGCAGAAGATTTAGAAAAGTATAGCAGATAATATAAGACAGGGGGCTGGTAAGATGGTTCAGTGGTCTAAAGCACCTACTTAGAACAAGCTTAGCAAAGCACAGGGACCACGGTTCAATCCCCCAGCACCACATGCCAGCCAGCCCCGCCCCCTGGTGGGCTGGCCACACACACACACACACACACACACACACAAATAAATAAATAAATAAATTTTTTAAAAAAAGAATATAAGACAGGGATGTGAAAGTACAGCACATTTAAGCATCTTAACTTGAGAGAGCTTTTTAGGGTGGTGTGGCAGCCTTACTCTGGCCTCTGTGCTGTGAATGAGTTTGAGGCCAGCTGCAGCTACATAGTGAGACACTGTCTCAAACAAAAATTGAAAATTATTTAAGTGAGTCTGATTTAAGGCTAAGATCATTCAGTGACAAGAATTTGTTAATAGTTTTTATATAGCAGGGTGTTCGTTTGTTTCGTGGTACCAGGGATCAAACTCGGGACCTTGTATTGCCAGGCAGGTGCTTATGCTGCTGAGCTATATCCCTGGCCCTATACAGCAGTTTTAGAAAATTTACTTAACATTTCACAGAATGTGAATTTATATTCTGAATTATTACTGTTTTTTGGTTTTCTTAATTTTAGTACTGGAGTGTGTACCCCATTCCTTTTTTTCTTTTGTTAGTTGTTTTATTTTGTCCTATTTTTGTTTTGTTTTCTCTTGTCTTGTTTTGCTTTGTTTAGTTTATAAGATCTTGCTCAGCACTCAAGATGCTGAGGCCAGAGGATTGCTGTTAACATAGGTAATTCCTTTTGTAAGAGGTGGAGCCTATAAGACTTACATATCTACTGTGTTTGCTTAAGAAGAGAGGCATAGATTAAAAAGTCACTTGTAGAGGGTAAGAAGAGTCATTTAGATTGGGATAACTGTATATAAAACATTAGTGTCTGTCTTGTTTTCATACAACCATGCCATAAATATATTGCAAACTGAAAGCTAATTTTTTTTGAGACTTTTTTTTTTTAATTTTAGGACGGGGTCTGCAGGATCTCACTGATCAGACTCATAGTGATTGTTGAGCTATATTCCTGGCCCTATATAGCAGGGTTTTTTGCAGTACTGGGGATTGAACTCAGGATCTTGTGC